TGTGCCTGCGAAGAGGGGGACGCCAGTCTAGCGGGACCATGGGGCGCTGACAAAGGGCTCCATTCGCCTCCAAACACCACTGGCAGGCTGGCAGACGTGCTGAGAGGGTTTGCGAAGTTAGCTGCCCGGGGGCAAAACTTTGTTGTCGGGGAATTTTGAAACGTGCATTGATGTTTGATCGCCTCGCCAGGAGATTGATTGTAAGACGGATGGTTCCGAATGTTAACGGGGTTTTGTTTTGTTTGGCAAGGCTGCCCCGGGCCAGCCCTTTGTGATCGCTCCTCTTTTGCTCCTGTTCCTTGTGGTTCTTACGTGTGCAGCGCCGGCTTCAGCCTCCCTTTTGTGGGCTGTCTTCTCTGATGTGTTGATGCTAGTGCTTGACTTTTGAAAAAATGCTTTAAAGGGGTTTTTAATGTCTTAAAAGGAGGAGCCCTGGTGGCGCAGTGATGATGCACTGGGCTGTTAGCTTAACGAGTGGCAGTTCGAACCCACCAGCTGCTCCTACTCCTGTAAGATGGCAGCTCTGGAACTCTTGACAGTTCTCTGCTGGGCCTGGTCTCTCTGAGTCGGAATCTACAAAGCCTCCCTGGGCTTGGTCAATGGAAATGTCCAAAGCTTGTATTTTAAAAAGGCAAATGATTTCCCTTTTTAAGTAAATTTGGTTTGCAAAAGGGTGCATTTAAAGAATTGTATTCATTCTGCCCGGTTGAGATTCAAGAAAATGTTGCCGAAGTTGTCATTACTTACCTTGTGGGAAAGAAGGGGCCCATGCAGTGTGCTGACTGAACCAGGCATGATGCCAAGGTCCCTAACGGTTTTGGCTTTCCACAGTACTGTGCAGTAGTTATGACTCTGATTTTACCCATGAAAATGTTGAGGTATTCAAATCTCAAACTTACTGTTATGGGGTCGATGCCGACTCAGAGAGACCCTACCGGACAGGAGGTAGAACTGCTCCTGTAGGTTTCTGAGACTATAACTCTTTGAGAACTGCTGGCCTTGGCGTTAGCAGCCCAGAGCATAACTACTTATAACACCAGGGCTCCTTTGGGGGCACAGAGAGGTTAAATACCCACCTGAAGCACAAACTTTGGAATAAAGACCCAGTTCTCCGCACCATGCTAAAAGGTGTATCAGTTCATTTATAAGGAATGGTTGTGATCCATGCATAGGCGCACCGTGCATGAAAAGTACAGGTTGTGACCCTAAAGGCTTGGTATCCAGATTCTGTGATAAAATCGTTCTGTTGGGAGGAGGTGGTGAATAGCAAAATACTAATAGCCAGCCAGGGGTGGGGGCTTTTGGTATGAGCACTTGATATGTGAGTTTGTGCTATTATTCTGATTTTATGGATTTAAAAAAAATGGAAACACAGAGAAGTAAGTTGCCTAAAGTCACACAGCTAGTAACTTGGGCAGCTAGGATCCAAACCCAAAGCTTTCGTCTTATTTGTAGTTAGCAACGTGTGACAACCCCTTTGAAGGCGTCAAAGGGTGAGTGTTCTGGTAATTCCAGGAAAGCAGTACCATCCCCAGATGCAGTGATTGCTGATAACGCATCAGTGTTTGGGGAGATAAAATGTGAATTAAGACTTATAGTTATTGATTCGGTTCTCCTCAGTAGAGACACAGCATGGTCATATGGGCACAAGGCATAGCAGGAGCATGAGGCTCAAATGATAGAAGATGGTGATGCTTGGCAAGTGTGCCCAAACATACAAGTCCCGGGAGCCCCGTGGTACACTTGATGCACACTGGTCTGTATCTGACTACAGTCAATACTTGACAATGACTTTTAAGTAAACTTGGTTTACAAAACTTTGAATTTAAAGAATTTTACTCATTGACTCTGCATACCTTAGTCATGGTTGAACTTGAAGAAAATGTCGCAAAAGCTGTGATTATTCATCTTGTGAGGAAAGGGAACTAAAACTCATGTCTGAATATAAGAATTTGTTACACTGGTCAGCAAGCTTGTCTGTAAAGGACCAACAGTAAATGTTTTAGGCTTGACCATAGTGACCCTCTGAGAGGTAGGTAGGGACCTCCTGACAATGTAAAGACCTTGTAGGACATGATAGGAGTTTGGATTTTATTTTGTTATTGTTAGAGAAGAGGATCCAAGTGATTTTAATAATGAAGTTAAAAAGTGTAGACTCTGCAGCCAGGCTCCACCACTTAATAGGAATAAGACCTGGGTAAAGTATTTAAACTCTCTCATTGCCTCGGTTTTCTCATATGGAAAATGGGGATAATTTTAGAAACCTACTGCTTAGAGTTGTTATGAATACTAAGTTAGTTACTATACTTTTGTACTTAGATACTGCCTAGCACAGAACAAGGAGTTTTAAAAAGCTAGAGATTATTATCTGTTGTACTTTGGTATTTTCCCAATAAGCCACAGTGAACCTATAATTCATATTGTTAGAAATAGAGTGCCAGAAGTACAACTATAGTTGGAAAGCTACCTTACTATCCTTATTCTGTGAGAGTTTAAATAGAGATGAAATAAGCCAGCGAGTGGGAGATTGTGTCCATTTTGGTTCATTAATTGTGAGAAATGTACTATGTTACTAATGTCAGATTTCACTTTTAGAAATACACATGCAATGTATGTGTGAATTGTGATGGGAGTTGTGTGAGCCCCTAATGAAACGATTTGGAAAAAAAGAAATACAGATGCAATTTTAAATGAAGTACCAAAAAAGGGCTATTTTCCATGATCATCTGAAGAACATAAGAGAATGAATATCAGTAAATTAAAGGAGAAATATTATTTGATATGTACAGAGATAGCAAGATATTGACTTAGTATTTAGATCTATGTATATTATTTTATTTAATATTCCTGTGGTTGATGCAACATGATTTGGGGAGAGCTAAAGAAGAATGTTCTTCAGTTAATTTCTGTAGATGGTGGTAATGCCATTTGGCAATGATTACTGGTGATAGGTGTACAACATGATTAATGTAATTGATGTCACTAAATGTTGGAGTATGCCTAGTCAGAGTAAACTTTTCAGAAGTACCTTGAATATCCGTAGATGGGAGATTGGTTATAATAAAACATAGCCTGTCTGTGTGATGAAAGAATGAGATACTATTAAGATGACTGCAGTGTATCTAAAGATAATGGTTTGCAAAGATTTCTCTCACTACAGCTTACGTTTGCCTGTTTTTGAACTTTGTGTATACCGAGTTGTGCATTAGATTGTCTTTTGTGTCTGACTGCTTTTATTCCATGTTAATGTTTGTGAAATTCATTCTTTTCATAGCTGTGCAGTATTCCTCCAGGAGAATCCGCCACAATGTAATGCTTTGCAGTTTGTACTAGTCCTATAATCTGATTGCAGCTCAAATTGGAAGGAATTTAGAACTCGAAATTTGCCCACAGTGTTAATCTGCATTTACCTAATGTGGATTGATCCTCCCATCGTTTGGTTGGTCCCTTTGGGGCTCATGAGTATCTCCTCTGTAGAATGAGATGGGAAAGAGGAGAGGGCCTGGTACTTGTTTCGCTTTTTCTTGCCTCTCATTACTGTTCGGACTCGGGAGGAATAAGACGAACTTACTCTTTCATGAATGCACCCTTTTCCTGAACTCGGATGCAGGTGTTCAAACCTCTCATACAAGATGGTCTGGTAGTGTTGCCGCCAATGGCTTTTTCTAGATTATAAATGTGATAACTATAAATAATTCAGAACAATAATGGGGCCTGTACAATTCTAAAGGTATGTGCTCATGTTGTACCTATATTTATGTAGCTTTAATACAAGACTTAGCAGTTGTCGTGTTAGAGTTGAAATGGATCCTTGAGAAAACGTCAGTGAGTTTTCACCTGGCAGGTAGAGAAGCGGTGATTGCAGGACTTTTATTTTACCCAGTCTGTGTAGATCCCTGACTCCCATTCGGGGACTTGTCCCAGCATGCTCTGTCTCCCTAGGGGAAACACCTTTCTGAGAGCCTTTCCAAAAGCAAGAAGGAATCATGTTGCTCTTGTTCAGTAGTTTCCGGCATTTACGCTCTAGAACTGGAGGTTCAGAGCATTCACTTGACAGTTTAGAATGGTGTTTGCCTTTGATTCATATTTCCATTAATGATTGAGATAGACCTTCCATTTGGAAAGACATTTTCTGAATCACTGACGGAAGAATTCTTGTGTTGGTCCTCCCTACAATTCACCCAGGACTTCCTTTCAATTGCAGGTAGCGTTCTGCACTACTACAGGTCGGAGGTATGTGAAGTGAACTTTCTAATGCATTGCCTTGCAGGAGTTGAAGGCGTCACCAAGAAACTCTCCGGCTTTTAAAAAGAAGTCGAGCCAGCCCAGGGGAAGCGGCGTTTATCCTGTTGCACAAAAATGTCTAGTGATTCCAGTGAACACGATGGGGTTTGTATTTCAACCTGAAAAATCTTGATTTGTTCTTTTTGTTCTGCTATAGTTATTTTCTATTGATTTGAATTTCCTGGAGTGACATGCATACATCTTAAGTGTACCGTTCGTGAGTTCTGATAGCAAGATCATTGAATCCCCACTTTTAGCAAGATATAGAGTATGTTATTGATGTATGAAGTTATTTCATATCCCTGTCTAATAAATTCTCATACGTGCCCCCCAAAGCATCATTTTGATGATTCTGCCTTGTTTGAGAACGTTATATAATCAATAGAATAATACAGTATGCACTCCTTTGCCTGACTTCATTTCCATAGTGTAGTGCTTTTGAAATGCATCTGTGTTGGGATGTATTCTTAGTGTGGCTCCTTTTACTGTTGACTACGATCCCTTTTTATGGTCCACTGTTTTCGGATCTGTTCTTGATGACTGCTTGGGTTGTTTTCAGTTTTAAACTATTGTCTATAAAGCTGCCATGAGCACTCCTGTACAGGTTTATTTGTGAATATGTATGTACGCTTGTTTGGGATAATATTTGAAATTTGAATTGCTAGGTCATGGGGTTGATGCCCGTTTCATTTCAGAAGAATCTGCCAGTTTTTCAATTTCGTAGGACTGTTTTACAGGTTCCTAATATTCTTCTGTTTCCTGATCCTTGTAGTTGAATCACTATGCAATATATAATCTGGCTTAACAAAAACCACATTTCATTACTGTCATAAGAACATGGATATTAATACCACTTAAGCACTGCAGTCAAGTCTCCTGACTTCTAGCCACCTTGATATTTTTATTTCTAAAGATAATGTCAACTACCTACACAGAAGCATGGTCTATGACACAATGATGTGAGAGCACTTTGAAAAGTAAAAAAAATGATTCAAGGGTAAGATGATGATATTAGTTATGTAAGTATTAATCTAAAGTAATAAGCTAAAAAATCCAAACTCGGTGCCATTGGGTCAATTTCGACCCATAGTGACCTTATAGGACAGAGTCGAATGGCCCCTTTGGGTTTCTGAGACTTTAAATCTTTCCTGCTAGTAGACAGCCGCATCTTGCTAATCATGTTACTTTGCCTATTTAATCAGTGTCAGACTAATTCAGGGAATTTTCCATAGTGTATTTTGAAACAAAGACAGCCACTGCGTATGGTTACTTTAAAATTATTCTTAGAGTTCATAAGTTCTTAGATTAAAGAGTTCTAATGAAATGTAATGACTACTTATTTATTTGTACCTGCGGCCTTATTAAAAATAAAACAGTCTTAAGGCAATTTAGAGATAAATTTGCTAAGGACAGTAAGTCCTTAAGTGGTTTCACATCTTGTCCACATAGTGGCACTGTTGGATTATTTACAATTTTAAAGCCATGTAGTATTTGGCACATCTCTTGTGGTAGTTAGAAAGATTTGCTTTCAATGAGGCTCTGATGCCAAAATACTAGAAGCTTTTCAAACTCCGAAGTACATAATAGGTTAGCTTGATAGAAAACATTATATTGATTATAGTTGAGTTACTGAGAAAAGCGTTCTGCAAGTACATCGTTTCATTTCTTTGTGTGTTTTGTTGTTGTTGTTGTTGTTGTTGAATAAAGATCCCTTGAATGTCTCATAGGCCTTTGGAGCTTCCTGAACACACAATTGAAGTCTTGAACTTTTCTTTCAATTCTTTCATCTTTCCTCTTAATTCGTTAATAAATCTTCCTCAGATACCAGTTTGGAAACCTTATGAGGAAGAAGATACTATCCTATATGAACCAAACAATGCATTTTTCCAGAAAGTAAGTAATGCTAATTGCTGTTTGCCAAATATATTAACACTATGTTAAAGAAAAAGATTTAAACTCCTTTTTGGCCATCGCTTATTATGGAGTTCCTCTGAACTCACATTCAAGAAAATATTTCTGCCCCAAACTTGTACACATCTTTTCCTGAGACGATAGGCACTTAACCATTTTACTTACCTTGTTTCTGTAATAGGAAAGTCAGAGAAATTTTGTATTAACTTTCATACAAAATTAATTTCCTTTTTAATCTTTCTAATAATACATTTTTTCATTATTGCCCCTTTTCTGTCTTTGGATCTTGTCATTTCAATTCTCACATTAATTTGTCTGAACTCTTAAGACTTCTGAAATCCCTTGAGAGATTGGTGAAAAAATAAATAAAAACAATTTAAACACACACATACATGGTGGATTTTTTTCCCCTTCATGTTTCATTTGGCTCTTATAGAATTAAATAATTAACTACTTAATATTAAAATATTATTAGGTAAATGCTGCTCCTGAGACATCAAACAATGAAGAGCAACAAAAGACACTTAAGGATGTTCTTACCCACTGCCAGGTAGGAATCCAATATGATTTTCTAAAACGTGGAGCTAAATTTTTCTTGATCATTTTACTAGAAATTTTGATGTATCAGATTATGCGTGCACATAACTCCATTGCAATGATGTTTAACAGTTTTTCATTCCAACAGCATCCTCAGGTAAAAAATTTTAAATGTTAACATAGATTTTTGGTAGCTTTCAAAAAATCCCTGGCTAATTAAGCATAGTTATCTATTTCATGTATATTGTCCATATTTAAATCCCCCCTACAAAATCTTTACGGAACATTGGCTAATTTAGCCAGTGGGCGTGTGTCAGCGTGGTCTGGAGACTCCTGAAAAGCACAGATCCTCAACCCCACTCTGGGAGTGCCTGATGCAGTGTAGGTCTGGGGTGGAGTCTGAGGCTTTGCGCTTCTAACAAGCTCACAGGTGATGTAAGTGCTGCCTATTCAAGGACCTCACTTGGAGACCCACTGCTTTAGACTGGGTCACTTGGTGGCACAGTGGTTAAGCATTTAGCTGCTAACCGATAGGTTAGCAGTTGGATCCCACCAGCCACTCCACTAAGAGGTTTCCAACCTAGGAACCCCTACAGGGAAGTTCTGCTCTGACCTGCAGGGTCTCAATGAATCTGAATTACACTGAGTTTCTTTTTTTTTT